TGTGTTCATTCTGTACCTTGTGCTTTGGTAAAAGCAATCGAAACTCTTCTAAATTTCTGTGGATGTGCCGACACTATATGCACAACCCAGCTGGAGACAAAGGAACTGAAGTTAATTGAGATGCAGGTGTGCAATTGTTTTATGTTGATGTAGAACAAGTTGAAATAATAGCTTGGAACTGAATACCTTGGGTAATGTTCCTGTTAAGTATAGTAAAATGAACAGTATGATGTAATTAAAATTATATGGTTTGGGTCATTTTTACTTTCAGGTTTAATTTTATTGTTTAAACTATGCTGAAAAATTCCTGAGAGAGAAAGGTATATTTAAGTTTGGGAACCAGAGGCCTCTTAATATATAGAAGTATTACAACAAAGTACTTCTTAGTAGATCTGTCATGTGTTAGGCAAAAATAGACCCCCTGTTACAGAAGGTTGGGAGTTTTCTTTAGTAGCACTGGTGGTGCCTATGAGGAAAAGAGCATGGTAGGATTTATGAAGAAATGTTCTTTTAAATAGCAAGGATTCAAAATGAATGAAAGAGCTCTAAAAATTAAAAAAATAATAAATACAGGAAAACAAAAGGAAATGCATAACAAAGAGTACAGAAATTCAGGAAATACAAAAATACAGAAGAATGGTTACATTAAATGAAAATTGAATACATGAACTACATAAAAAACCTAGCTTTGCACAGAAAATTTATCAGTAAGCCTGACTGAAAAATCAATCAATAAAGAGAAATGATTTCACTAACACTATCAATACCAAATATATAATACTGATAAAATTTTTAAATACTTAAAAATAAATGTGTGCCAACAAACATGATATTATAGGTTCAATGGAAAGATTTTAGATTAGTAATAAATTATGACAGCTAACTTCTAGTGCTCTTCTTTCTGGGCACACAGCTACAATCTTGTTTCTTAGATTCCTATGTAGTTACATCTGGTAGTAATTGAATTCTGATCAGTGAGCTGGCCTGTAAAAATCTTACAAACATATGTGTGTATATATAATAATATATTACCACTTCATACATAATAGGTATATACTGTTTCATATACCCAGCAAAAGAGAACATGTAAATTCATTTTACAAAGGGTGAACTTAATATTAAAACCAATAAAAATCAACAAACACAGTTAAAAGTAAATACAGATGTATACATTTTAAAAAGAAATTCTCTGGTTTGGAGCTGCACATGCAAGGGGAAAAGGCAGCTCAGATAGAGAAGGGAGTACCAAATAAAGGGAGATGGGAGGATCCTCCCAGGATGGGAGATGCATGCTGAAAGTAGAGTATAGACATGATTGCCACTCAAGGCCTCTTTTGCAAACCACAGCACCCAAAAGGAGAGAGAGAATAGAGGCAGGGTGGGATGGGGGTTGGGGGGTGGGAGGGATACTGGGATCAGTGGTGGAGGAGAATGGGCACTGGTGGAGGGATGCGTACTCGATCATTGTATAACTGAAACCCAAGCACAAAAATTTGTAAGTCTACAACTGTACCTCATGGTGTTTCACTAATAAAAATTAAAAAAAATAAGGACTGTAGCACTGTCCTCCCGTTGTTCATCGATTTGCTCAAACAGGCCAAGTAACACTTCCATTGTGAGACTTGTTACTGTGTTTGGCATATCGAATACATCACGGGGAGCTTGCTAGGCTTTGCTGTGCGGGTGAGATACTCTCCGGTGCTTGCCGGGCTCTCTGAGAGGGGCAGGGGAATCAAACTTGGGTCGGCTGGGTCGGCCACATTCAAGGCAAAAGGCCTACCAGTTCTACTATCGCTCCAGCCCAAAATAAAATAAATAAAATAAAATAAAAAAAGAAACTCTCAGTAAAATAACAGTATATGAAATATCCAATAGCTTGCATGTAGTGAGATTGTTTACACTCAGGAACATAGGTTGATAGAACATCAGAAAAATATACTTATGAAATTGTCCCATCAACAACTCAGATAAGAAAAGTATTTTGAATATCTTAACAGAAAAAAGAAGAAAGAACTTATATAATTGAATGTACACCTAATTCTTAGAGAATTTGCTGATAATATAATTATCTTGAAAAATAGAGAGTAATCAATAGGCCATCCTAAGAAAACAGGGGAATTTAGCAAGGGATTTGGTAGATCACCATAATCAACTTATCTCTTACATGTTAACAGCGCCCATCAAGAGCATGTATAAAATTGGGGGGCACATCCAGCAATTCACAGTGACCACTCCCTCTGCCAGGTGCTTGGGGGACCATGTGATGTAGCAAATGGATTAAACTCCTGGCTCTCACATACAAGCATGTGCTTCAGCCCTTTGAGCCATCTCTACAGCCCTAAATGTTATCAGTAACAACAAAACACTGAAAGATGCCTAGGAATAAATTTAGCAATGCATATGCAAGGCTTTTTTGGGATTTACAAAATGTCACAAATTAGCATAAAATAAGACTTGACTTGAATAAATGGGCAAAAGATCAATATAATAAAAATGCCAATTCTTCCAAAATCTATCTGAAAAGGAACTAAAAAGACCTCAAGATTCTATGCTGCATAGAAAGGAATCAACTGATAGTTGTTGGTATTTTGAGATTTGCATGCATATCTAATATTTTAAATTTAACTTCATTGTGATAAGAACGCAACATGAAGTCTGCCCTCTCAGCAAATTTTTAAGTGAATAATATATTGATGTCAACTATAGGTACCATGCTATACAGCCAATCTCTAGAGCTTACTCTAAATCTTGCTCAAGTAAAACTTTATACTCTTTGACTAGTAACTCATTTCTCACTTTCCAGTCCATGGAAACCACCATTCCACTCTTTAATTCTATGAATTTGACCACTTTTGATTCCTCATATAAGTAGAATTGTGCAGTACTTTTTTCTGTGCACACAGAAATTCACTTAACAAAATCCCCTCATTGTTTATGCATGCTGCGTAATTTCCATTCTAAGACTAAGTAGCATTATACTATCTGTATATTCCACATAGATACTATTTTAAGTCTTTCGGATAAATACTCAAGAGTGAGACTGCTATTTTCCATATTAGCTGACTCATTTTGCATTGCCATCAACAGTGGCAACGATAGCACAGCGGGTAGGGCGTTCGCCTTACAAGCGGCCAACATGGCTGACCTGAGTTCGATTCCTCCGCCCCTCTCGGAGAGCCCGGCAAGCTACCGAGAGGATCTCGCCCTCACGGCAGAGCCTGGCAAGCTCCCTGTGACTATTCGATATGCCAGACACAGTAACAACAAAGTCTCCAATGGAGACGTTACTGGGCCCGCTCGAGCAAATCGACGATCAACAGGAGGGCCTTTACCTTTTACCTTATCAACAGTTTTACATTTCAATCTTATGTTTAAAGTCTTTAATCAATTTTGAGTTGTTTGTTGCTTTTGGTGTAACATAAAGGTCTATTTTTTCTTTTAAGCCACTGTGATTTACAAAATTGTTAATAGTAGAGTTTTAGGCACCCCTAGTGTCAACTTCCCTCCACCACTGTTTCTAGGTTCCCTCCCACCCGCCAGCTTGCCTTTGTGGCAGGCACATTTAAAAATTTACTTATTGTCATTTGAGTCTCCTACTTGCAGTGGTTTTGGGCTCTGTGTTTCAGACATATAAACATACTTCTGTCATTGACATGTCCGGGGCCCCTACTCCCTGCCCCTGTTATCTCCCAACCACCTCTTCATTTGGTATATAGCTATCTATAACCACCTCTACAACAGTATATAGCCATCTAGTTGCTAATTTTCACTTGCTGAAGACACTGTCCCTTCCCCATGATATGTTTTTGGTACCCTTAGTTCAAAGAGTGCAAAGATCAAAGATAGCTCAAAGATCAGTAAAACTATTATATACCATTTCTTGGACCGTTCTCATCAATAATGTAGAGGGCTTGAATTAACCTTTGCTATCCACTTTGTAACACCTACTGTACTTATCCCATTACTTGCTTGACCAAACCCACATAGACCAAGTGCCTGTGAAGCACCTTTCTCACTGTACTGTCTCTCCAGCCTTCTTTCTTTAGGCCTTTGTCATCCCAAGTTGCTGCACTTCCTCCACCATCAAAATACTAAAGACCTTTCATCATTGTCCTGATGTCACTTCTGCCTCGGGCATGAGGAAGTTGGCCTCATCTCTCCTATCTTCCACCATTCCTTGCAACTTGGTTATCTTATAACTGTTGTCAGTGTTCAAGAATTGATTTTCCTTGTCCATTGTGCATTCCCTTTCTTTGTTTCTTTATAAACTGCATCTGGAAGAGCTTATCCAACATTCATCCTATGCCCTCTGACTTATGTCACTTGACACCCTCTATTTCCACACAAGTTGCATTGCTTTATTTCTTATTCCAATATGGAGATAAGACTATTGACTCATCTGACAGGTCGTTTAATAGCACATACACAAGTGAGCCTGGGCAAAGTCAGCCAATTATGGTCCAGATCAATAGAACTCTTCATTATTACACTTATGAATGACAATAGTAAATTATGCATTATATGAGGTATATAATACTGATCTCAATTCGTTCATGAAGAAACTCAGATTCAAAGAAGCTAGGTAGCTTGCCCCAGAACATTCATCTAGCAAAGACTAGGAATCTGCTCTGTGATAGAATACTTCCCTTGCATGTGTGAGGCCTTGGTTGGTTCAATCTCTGTTACCTTTATGGCCCCTTAAGCACCTCTGGGAGTGACCCCCAGCACAAAACCAAGATAAGTCTGTGGTGGCCAAAAAAACACTCAGCTAGCAAGAGGTAGATCCAGATCAAATCCTGTTTAATCCCCAAACAACTGTTCTCCTATGTCACATTGGTTGTAAAGTAAAGGGCATAGACATGGAAAATGTACAATTCTTGATTTCTGTACCATCTCAAAGCCCTTTGAGCAAAAGTTTAAACATGGCGCTCGCTAGCCAGCACCAGGAAGTGCTGTGGTTTGAGTTGCAACTCTTGTTCTAACTTCAAATGTGATTATCAGAGACTATACTTTGAGGGGTCATTTCTATAGTTTGTCGTTAGATAAATTTTTCTGATCATGTAGAACACCAAGAACTACAAGGAGGAGCCAGAACATTCTCTCCTGAGTGTGAGGCACATTCAAGGTGTTGCTTTTGCAAATGCCTTTTACCACTGAGGATGGTTCTTCCCTTGGAAGAGTGAGAGGGAGAGGATGAAGTCTGAGTACTTTCATTTTTAAAAAATTGCTTATCTAATAGTCAAATATCTAATTGAAAAATTCCCTGGTGACTTTAGTGTCACTCTTTGAAATTTTGTGTATAACAACAAGTCTCACAATTTGTTGTGAGACATTGCTGGTGCCCACTCGAGCAAATCGATGACTATTGGACTGTGATATCACATATCCATGTTCTTTACTCCAATAAAATTTTCCATATGTAGATTGACTTTATTTTATTATACTTGTTAGTTGCTTATTTTCTGATCTTTAACATGTAACTAAAATTAGTTTGAGTTTTGCATTTTTAATTAAACTTTAATTTTATTGGTTTAGCATTGGTTTATAATACTATGTACATTTTATTAGAACAGCTTGACATATGTGCATATGTATATAAACTCCATAGCATATATTACTAAATTTTTAATACCATTTCCATAACTAGATTGACCTCCTGACCTATCTCTCAACCCCCTTCCCCTCCGCTCTGGCAACCACTATATTTTTCAGAGTCAAGAGTTATTTTTATTGTTATTGTTAGCACTGTAGCACTGTCCTCCTGTTCATTGATTTGCTCAAGCAGGCACCAGTAACATCTCACAACAAATTGTGAGACTTGTTGTTACTGTTTTTGGCATATGAATGAATTTGTCACAGGGAGCTTGCCAGGCTTTGCCGTGCGGACGAGATATTCTCGGTAGCTTGCCAGGCTCTCCAAGCAAGGAGGAGGAATCGAACCCAGGTCGGCTGTGTTGGCTGCCTGCAAGGCAAACGCCCTACCCGCTGTGCTATCACCCCAGCACAACATTGTTATTGTTAGTTCCTTTGTTTTAGTTATTTATATTCCACATATGATAGAAACCATCTGGTACTTGTTTTTTACTTCCTGCCTTCTTTCACTTAGTATAATACCTCAAGTTCCATTCCCGTGATGTGGGATGATCATAAAAACAGTCACGGTCACAGTCACGGTCCTCCCGTTGTTCATCGATTTGCTCGAGCGGGCCCAGTAACATCTCCATCGTGAGTCTTGTTGTTACTGTGTTTAGCATATTGAATACGTCATGGGTAGCTTGCCAGGCTCTGCTGTGTGGGCAAGATACTCTTGGTAGCTTGCCGGGCTGAGGAATCGAACTCGGGTCGGCCATATTGGCTGCGTGCAAGGCAAACACCCTACCGCTGTGCTATCGCTCCAGCCCATCATAAAAACATGCTTTCTTTTTTTTAATGGCAGAATGTCAGTGTATTGAATTTATACACCTTAGCTTCTTTGTCCAGTTGTCTGACAATGGACAGTTAGGTTATTTTCATGTCTTGATTATTGTGAATAATGTTGCTAATTCACAAAGGGTTTAAATTAGTGGTTTTTTTTTTGTATTCTTTGGATAAATACCTAGGAGTTTTATTGCTGAGTCATATAGTATTTCTACTTCTACTTTTTAAGGAAAGTTGCACTGTAGCACTGTGCTCCCATTGTTCATCCATTTGCTCAAGCGGGCACCAGTAACATCTCCATTGTGAGACTTGTTGTTACTGGTTTTGGCATATTGAATATGTCATGGGGAGCTTGCCAGGCTTTGCCGGGTGGGCGGGATACTCTTGGTAGCTTGCTGGACTCTCTGAGAGGGGTGGAGGAATCGAACCCAGGTCGGCCCGTGCAAGGCAAATGCCCTACCACTGTGCTATCACTCTTTTTAATAACTCCTCCACCAATTTACATTTCCTTTTTCTCTGCATTCTTACCACCACTATTGTTTCCAGTCTTTCTTTTTCTTTGTTTCCAGTCTTTTCACATTAGCAATTCTCACTGGTATGGAGTAATATCACATTGGAGCTTGGACTTAGAATTTGCCTGATAGTCAGAGATGCTGAGCATATTTTTCCTGTTCCTATTGGCCATCTGGATTTATTCTTTGGACAAACGTCCATTTTTTTAAATGTTTTGTTTTCTTTCTTTTATTATTGGGAGCTCTTGCTATTGGTACTACCCATGCCTGGTTGGACAAAATTTTGGCCTCATAAAATGTCATTGAAGAGGTCCTTCCCTCCTCAGTTATTTGAAAGAGTTTATTAAATATAAGTAACATATTTTCTCTGAAATTTGGTAGAATTCATTGGTGAAACCATCTAGTTCTGAGCTTTTATTCCTAGGGAGGTGTTTTTATTTCTGTATTTATGATCAGCCTCTTCATGCTTTCTGTATCTTCCTGGATGTTTGAACTTTCTATTTATTTATTCATGAATCAGCCTTGGGAGGTTTAAGGTACTCTAATTTTCCCCATTTATTCTAGGTTGTCCAGTTTATTTGTATACAGACATTCATGGTAGTCTCTTATGATCCTTTGTATGGTATCCATTATAATCTCACCTCTCTTACTCTTGATTTTCTATTTAGTTCTAGCAAAGAACCAGTTCTTAGTTACATCAGTATTTTATACCTTTTTTTATTTGTTTCTATTTTCCTTATTTCTGCTGTATTTTATTATTTCCTTTCTAAAGACTTTTTTTTTATTTGTCCTTTTATTTAGTTCCTTCAGTTGTAAAGTTAGATTACTTACTTAATTGGAACTTATCTTATTCTTTGACATGGGCCTATGTTGCTATAATCATCCTGCTTTAACATTGATTTTCTTACATCCCATGGACACTGATGTTTGTGTTATTTATGTTCATCTCTGGATAATTTTTAATTTTTTCATTTACATCCGTTGTTGGACTGAAGCGATAGCGCAGCAGGTAGAACATTTGCCTTGCACACGGCCGACCTGGGTTTGATTCTTCCGCCCCTATTGGAGAGCCCGGCAAGCTACCGAGAGTATCTTACCCACTCAGCAGAGCCTGGCAAGCTCCTTGTGGCATTTTCAATATTCCAAAAACAGTAACAACAAGTCTCACAATGGAGACATTACTGGTGCCCACTCTAGCAAATTGATGAACAATGGGAGGACAGTGCTATTGTTGTTGTTATTTTTGGGGATCATGTTAATCTTTTTCACTGTTCCCAATCCCTTCATAACTGAGCTTTTTCCCAACTAAGTACAAATGCCATCATCATAGATCCCTCATCTAAGCAACTGACAGTGGCTTGCTCTTAAGATAGATTTCCTGTGATTTCCAGTAGCCAAAATATGTGACTCTAAATACTGCTAAAGTCACAGAGATATAGTGATGGGCTGCACCCAGCCTTAGCAAGCAGTCGGATCTTCTTCTCTGTGGAAGAGTGCAGCAGATTCCTAGAACCTTGGGTGTCCCCAAAGCTCTGTCCTTGACCCTAATTGATCTGCAAGCCATTCTCCCTGAATTTGCCACCCTGCCAGGCCTGAGCAAGTATTTATAATTAGTGGCAGCAACTTAACTCTGAAGGAAAACTTCCCTACATCTCCAAAGGGCAGGAGGAGGGAACTAATCATGCTGAGTTGAGGGAGTTAGCACTGTAGCACTGTAGCACTGTCCTGCCATTGTTCGATATGCTCAAGCGGGCCCAGTAACGTCTCCATTTTGAGACTTCTTGTTACTGTGTTTGGCATATTGAATACGTCACGGGGAGCTTGCCAGGCTTTGCTGTGTGGACAAGATACTCTCAGTAGCTTGCCAGGCTCTCTGAGAGGGGTGGAGGAATCGAACCTGGCTTGGCAGGGCTGACTGCGCACAAGGCAAATACCCTACCGCTGGGCTATGAAGGAAGTTAGGAAAAGACAAATACTATATGATCTCACGTATATGGAACCTAAAAATGCCAAAGTCATCGATGAGTTCTAATCAGAAAATAATGTTGAAAACCAGGGGTTGGTAAGATGGGGAGAGAAAAGACAAGAGGTAGGTCAAAGGGTACAAACTTCCATTTGTAAGATAAATCAGTTCTGATTTATGGTAATTATAGCTTATTACATACTGTAGTATATAATTGAAGATTAGCAGGACCGTAGATATTTATACAAAAAAGAAATGGTTATTATATATTGTAATGGAGATGCTGATAATGCTAAGAAGGTAAGAATATGTAAGTTGATCAAATGAAAACATACGAAATTGACTTGGGCAATGTTACATGTTAACTATCTCTTTAAGGGATAGCACAGTGGGTAGGGCATTTGCCTTGCACCCGGCCGACCTGGTAGGCCCAGGTTCGATTCCTCTGCCTCTCTCAGAGAGCCCAGCAAGCTACTGAGAGTATCTCACCTGCACAGCAACACCTACCTGCCAAGCTACCCGTGATGTATTTGATATGCTAAATACAGTAACAACAAGTCTCACAATAGAGACGTATCTGGACCTGCTTGAGCAAACTGGTGATCAATGGGAGGACAGTGGACAGTGCTACAGTGCTAACTATCTCTTTAAGAATTCTGGGTTAAATGAAGCAAGGAAAAGTTCTTTGGAAGCCATCTATTAGGAAGCCCTTTCAATGCTTGAATTAGTAGAAATTTGGGAAGTCTAAACTTGTTTGAGGACCATATGGTGAGGTTATTGTGCCCAGACTAAGCAGTGGGGTCACCCTGGTAGAGCTGTTCTTATAGGCACTTAAGGATACAGAACTTATACCAGGAAGAATTGTGTGCTAAGAGAAGAGTTGGGTATAATCCAAGATTAAAACTAAAATTATCTTACATCGTAAAAATTAAAACTCCCAAGTCATCTAAAGAAGTGAGAAAAGAGTTTTAATAGGCCCTTAGCAATTATATATGTATATGTATATATGAGTTGTCTAGGAAAAGTATATTGCTCATCGGCAATGAGAAAAATTCTTCTGGGAATCTGTCCAAGAGCCCAAAGCCTTCTTGCTTGTTTCTTCAGGCTTTAAACATCCTTCCTAATTTAGGAAAAGCTCCCAGTTCCTGTTTGCTTTCCCTCTCTAGTACTAACTTCAAAGTGTGGCTCAGTGTTGTCTAGATAATACATGAGTAAGGTAAGTTTCATGTTCTTGCCTTGCATGCAGACAAGCCCACTTTGAATCCTTAGCACCACACGTGATTCCCTGAGCACTGCCAGGAATCATCCCGAATGCAG